TTGAGCATCGTTTCATATGTCTGTGGGCCATCTGTAGGTCCTCTTTGGAGAAATGTCTCTTTAGGTCCTCTGTCCATTCTTAAATCATATTGTTTGTTTTTCGGTGTTAAATTGGATGATTTCCTTATATATTTTGAAGATTAACCCCTTACCAGATGTATCATTGGCAAATATCTTCTTCCATTCAGTAGGTTGTATTTGTGTTTTGTTGGGTTCCTTCACTGTGCAAAAATTTTAGTTTGACATAGTCTTGTTTCTTTTATTTTTGTTTCCCTTGCCTGTGAAACATATCCAAAAAATACTATTAAGAGTGAGTGCAAAGAGTTTACTGCCCATGTTTTCTTCTAGGAATTTTATGGTTTTGAGTTTTACATTTTAGTCTTTAATCCATTTTGAGTTTATTTTTGTATGTGAGTAACAAAGTGGCTTTTTTGGGTTTCTGCCACGTATCTATCCAGTTTTCCCAACACCATTAATTGAATAAACTATCTTTACCCCATTGTATGCTCTTGCGTCCTTTGTCATAGGTTAATTGATCACATAGGTGAGGGTTTATTTGTGAGCTCTCTATTCTGTTCCATTGACTTATGTGCTGTATTTATGCCAGTACCATGCTGTTTTGATCACAATAGTTTTGTGTCAATAGTGTAATTCAATAACAGGTAATGTGATATTTCCAAGTTTTTATTTTCCTCAATATTGCTTGGCTATTCAGGATCTTTTGTAGTTCTACATAAATATTAGGTTTATTTATTCTATCTTTGTGAAGAATGCTATTGGTCTCTTGATAGGGATTGCATTGAATCTGTAGATTGCTTTTTGTAGTATGGACATTTTAATGATGTTAATTCCTCCTGCCCATGAGCATGATATGTCCTTTCATGTATTTGGATGTTTTCAGTTTCTTTCTTTGATGTCTTAAGAGTTTTCAGAGTACAGGTCTTTTATCTCTTGGTTAAATCCATTCCTAGGTACTTTATTCTTTTTCATGTAACTCTAAATGGGACTGTTTTCTTCATTCCATTTTCTTCTAATTTGAAATTGGTGTCTATAATGCAACTGATATCTAAATACTAATTTTGTTTGAATGGCACTACTTCACTGAAATCATTTATGAGTTCTAGTAATTGCTTGGTAGAACCTTTAGGATTTTCTATAGTATTATGTCATCTGCAAATAGTGATAGTGTTATTCCTTTCTGATTTGGATGCCTTTTATTTCTTTTTCTTATCTGATTTCTTTGGCTAAGACTTTCAATACAATGTTGATGAATTGCAGTAAAGGTGAATATCCTTGTTTCATTCCTGATTTAAAAAAATGTTTTTGGCTTTTCACTACTGACTCTGTTAGCTGTGGGTTTGTCATACGCAGCCTTTCCTGTGGTGAGGCGTGTGTCCTCTCTCCCACTTCGGTGAGAGTTGTTTTTTTATTATCATAATGGATGTTGGGTTTTGTCAAATACCTTTTCTCATCTGTTGATATGATCATATGGTTTTTGGTCCTACATTTTGTTTATGTGGTGTGTCCTGTTAGTTGATTTTCATATACTGAAAATCAGCCTTACATCCCAGGAATAAGACACATTTGCTCATAATTCATGATCTTTATCATGTTTTGCTGAATTCTGTTTGCTAATGTTTTGTTAAGGATTTCTGCATCTATGTTCATCAGGGATATTGGTCTGTAATTCTGTTGTTTGTAGTGTTTTTTGTCTGGCTGTGGTGCGTGACCAAGTATTTTGGAGGAAGTGTGGCTAAGAGGCCAAGCAGGGATCCAGAAGCTAAAGCAAAAATCCACTCTACCCTCTTGGGAACAAGCTACCATTTTGGAAGCACAGGTTGCACTATTCAGTGATTAGAAACTAACTACATGGAGAAAAAGCCCCAGGACACAGACATCTGAGTGAGACCATCTCCCACATCCCAGCACCAAACTTGGAACTGAATGTAAACTCAAGAGCAACCAAGCCAATTCCAACATCACACTCAGCAGAAGAACCAACTTTTCAAGCACAGTCAACCCACAGGATCTTGAATAGTGAGGATCATTGGTTGATTAGCCACTAATATTTGGCATAATTTGCTATACAGCAAGATATAACTAAAAACGCTTTTTGTTTCCAACATTTAGTAGGGAAGTCACCGAAGCCAATAACAGTCTTAAACCATTATCTGTACAAACCAGAGGTCCACTAAGAAAATCCCATTCCTGAGTGAGGCTTAGCCCTCTTCTAGTGCTTTCTACTACAATCCTGTCCACTTAACCTACTGGGCCTCAATTCCCTCATTAGGGTTCATAAAACCTAGGTCCAAGCACAGAAGTCTTATGAGGATGAAGTGAATCGATATATGGAAGCACCAATGGTAAATAGCAGCCTTGTAGGTGGTACCTACAACTAGAGTCTGTACTGAGATAGTAGAGGGAACTGCCCCGTCTGCTTATCCCGGTTGTCCAGATCTAGAGCAGATATGGTACCTGTGGGACATGACACAGTGAGAAAATGAACAGCCACTTCTTTTTGGCTCTGGGACTGTGAGGATAGTAAACTTTCCAGAAGAGTTTTTAATTTCACCTTTATGTGCTTTGGTCTGGAGTCGTGTTGTGTGGAAGGAACTGCTGCAGAAGGTGAGTCAGGTGTTGAGGACGGGACACAGGGACACTCTTGTTTTCCACCTGTATTTGGGATCCTGGGAGGCAGATGCCTCTCCTTGCCCCACATCAATGTGCAGCATGGATGCAGAAAAGCAGAGAAACGTGGTCAGGCAGAGGGAGGTGCCCTGAGCTTCTCAGAGCTGCACTCAGTTCTGCTCGTGGCTGAGATGAGAGCCCCTCTGAGGCTCCACACGGAAGGTTGCAGCTGAGCGTATCCCTCAGTCAGGTGGTTTATAAGGGATGGGATGGGAGACAGTGGAGGCTACATTGGAAACATTCAAGATGGAACCAGTTTGGCAAGAGGAATGTCAACCCAAAAGAAGGGAGTTCATATTTCGTTATTGGAACATGAAATAGCCATTACTCTACAGACTAGCAAATATCTTGGCGGCACACCCTCAGGGGCCAGGGGAAGGCCAGCAGCTGGCCGGCCTGTGTGCCTCCCTACCACCCATCCTTGGATTCCTGCTGGTCAGACCTTCCTCCCAGTTAGAGAAAGACACAAGGGGCAGTCAGGGAGGCTCAGTAAATGACGAAGCCTTGTAGTAAGACACAAGCTAATTTACCATATAAAGGTAAGCTTTACTCACTCTTCAATTAGTAAGTTTTCATTTTCTCACTAATTAATGGGGAGGTGAGGAAAACCAGACATATTTTAACTGAATTAAGTTTTACAAGTTGGCTTCGCTTGGAAATAACTGTGTAAGTTTATGTAGCATCTTTTTAATGTTGATTTCTTTATCTTTAAAACTGAAATATGAGACACTATACTGTGCTGTATCAAAAGGTCTTAAGGAAATATCCCTCTAAGTGCAGTTTTATACGTGGCTTTGTTCAATCAACTCAGAAGAAAATTGCTGCTTTATTTCAGTCTGATTTATACCGAGATAATACCTTCCAGTGCTGTGGGCTCCTCCGTGGTTTTACTGCCAAAGGTCCACCCAGAAAAAAGCAAAAGCTTTTTTAGTTTCTTAAAGGTGCTTATTGCTTTTTCTTAGCTTCAATCACAGGCAATCAATTACGTTTCTGAGAATATTTGTATAAATTAAAGTGCGATCTCACCTTATCTTCACAGTGCAAATCACATGGATGCCTCTGCCACTTTTGCTTTGTAGCGAGAATTATACCACATTTATTGTCACCTCTCTTGGGTGAAAACATTTTTCACACAATGTGTCACCCCTACGACATACATAAAAAAGACATCTCCCCTTGTCTTCCAATTCATAAACCATTACTTTTATTTAATACACTGCTTCTTTTATCAATGACCCAACCCATTGTATGGTTTACAACTTACTTTTTCTTGCATAGATTCTTATTCTTTCTGCTTTATGTGAAATGTGCTCTGGAAAGCTCCTCCTGCCTTTCAGAAATTCTGCATCTGTTATTATTCTACTTAGCATTATAGTCTCCAGTTCCATCCATGTCGTTGCCCCAGCAGGGGGTCCTTCTCTCTTTTTGCTGCATAGTATCTCATTGTGTAAATGCGCCACATTTTTTTTCATCCACTCATTTACTGATGGGCACTTAGGCTGTTTTCAAATCTTGGCTATTGTAAATAGTGCTGCTATGAACATGGAGGTGCATAAACGTTTTAGAATTGGTGTTTTGGGATTTTTTTCAGGTATGTACTGTATGATCTTGCATATAAGAGGAATCGGTGAACAAAATAAACTAATGAGCAAAAGAAACCAGAGACACTGAGTCATGGAATAGACAGACAGCCGTAAGAGGGGAGGGGGAGGCAGGGGCTGATTAAAAGACAGTGAAGGGAATAGTCAGAAACATACAGGAAGGGCCCATGGACATGGACAATGGTGTGGGGATTGACTATGGAAGCGGAGGCCAGGCAAAGGGGGAGAAGTTGGGATGACTGTAACAGCATAAACAATAAAACTTTTTTTAATTAATTTTATTTAGTTATTTTTCAAGTACAGTTTTTTGTCTATTTTTCCCATCCCAGCCTCCCCCACCCCTTGCTCCCCACCTCCCTCCCATTTCCACCCCCCTTAGTTCTCATCCCTGTGTCCTTCCTATTTGTTCCTCCAAATCCCTCCCCCTTTTTCCCCTTAACTTCCCTTCCTTCTCCCCTACAATAAAACATTTTTTAAAAGAAAACCACCTTTTAGAAACAAAGTTGCTTTTACATATTCAAATTTATTTACCATACAACATCTACTAAGCAAAAAATAGTAAGAGTTAGAAGCTTCCTTCATTAATATTTCTAGTTAATGAAAATGATGATAGTGATATTTAAGACAAATATGAGAAACAATACCAAGATTTTCTCGTCTCATGTCCCCATCTTGAATCGAAGAGTTTGTGTATGTGTGTGAAGTAGTTACCGGTTTTGTAAGTGCCTGAGTTCAGTTTCCAAGTTTTCCTTTGCTTCTTTCTGGTCATCCAGCGACCTCTGCAGTTTACGGATCTGATTCAGGGCATCATTGAGCTGGAAACAAAGGAAAAATGCTTAACTTAAATGATTGAGAAAATCCTTTTAAAAGCAAGGTCTATTTTTTTTTGCATGGCACATTCTTATCATGCACAAGTTTCTTTAATATCTGTGCATGAGTATATGGGAATATTCACTTATTTTTTCATAATATAATTAATATATATTCACTAATAAAATGAACATCTCCATGGACTCGAGCATATTTGACAACATCTCTATCTAGGCACTTTTTCCACGTTTCAGCCCTGCCCCTCTGCCTGTGTCACAGTCCTGGACCCTGAGCTCATTATTCTGAGGTTTTGGGAGTGTCACAAGCCTCGTAAGTTGGAATGGCTCATGCACAATGTCACATTTCTGGAAATGCAAGTTTAAGCATGGACCATGACTCACTCTGAGCACACTGAGGTCTTGGCTTTGAACTGTCCCTTGTTAGGAAAAAAATACCCTTATTGTGTTCTTCCAATTTAATCATTAATGCTAATATTTTTAAAGTGTTCCAGTTAAATTCTCAAAGTATTTTCTTCATTGCCCGTATGGAAGTTTAATAGGTTAGGATTAGATGGTTTTCCTGTCCTCTCTTACCTCACAATTATTTCTAGCCACTAGATTCGTCCAATCGAATATTTCAAAATCTTATGGAAATTTAAATAAATTTATAAATTTCAAGCCTCAAGATAAAACTCTTGCCTCTCCAAGTAGCTTGCTGTCCTAGGGCACTACAGGAAAATAAACCTAATTTTAGTATCTAACACAATTGTAAGGGTAATAAAATCGCTCTTATTATGCAAAAACTCAAACTCTTGCTACAGATGAAACCTGATTTCAGTCCCCTGATCGCTAAAGCAGTGCTTTCCTACTTAAATCACTTTAAGCCTTAGGAAGAATGTATAACTTTAGGTTGGTGCTATTATTTTCCAGGGAGAAAAAAAACACTACTTTTCTTCATACACACACAAAATAACACCTTTCTGCAAAGCCTGTCTTCAGTTGTTTGTGGCGTGGACTAAACTTTGCTAAAGTATGTCAAAATGAACACCCAGATATTGTTTCTGAATTTCAAATGAAAATGGTAGCAATGCTCATATTTTGTCGACAGCCCCAATTCCCAAGTTCATGTACAACTACGAGATTCTTTTTATTCACAGTGTCCAAGTTTACTTTCCTACCTTAAATGTTCACCCTTATCAAGCCTGTGCAGGTCTCTGTGGTCCTCCCTTTTCCTAGTTTCCACTTTACCTTGGGAAGTGTTAAGTTAGGACATTTTTACAGAGCTTATGCATTTCTCTAGTTCTGTCTTTTGCATTTGTTCATGTAATGCACATTTGATAATATATAAGGCTTATGTTTCATTTAAATCACTCTGTTACCTGAAATTATTCAAGTCAACAGAATGCTATTTTTCGAATATTAAAAAGGATTTATTAGAGTACAGTCATATTGTATACACTACATAAAAGGCCTTATAAAATTTCAGTGTGCTTAGTATACAGACTAATTTTTGCTTCTTGGATATACTCTTGCATATTTTTATTACTTGGGGAAGAGTCAGAATATGCAACATTTATGCCTCATTACAGATAAATTTTAAGAAATATTATAATTTCCTTATATATGATCAAGATAAAAATTAAAACAATAAAGTAATAGGCTAATAATGTTTGACAATATTATTCTGGAAACTCCTATTATTTTGCATTTTATCTTCTTTCCTAAATATCTGCTTGGAAAAAAATACTTATATTTGGCAATTACATTGTGAGTTCCAAGGATAGTTTCTAAATGACGTTTATGAATAATGCTATTTTTAACATTTTTCTTCAATTTATATATTTTTGGCTTCTATGCTATCATTTTGGATTTCAGTATATGGACACAAATATGGGGTATATAATAACTCCTTGAAAAGCTTACTCACAGATACTGGTACATATTTAACGAATACTTTGTTCTAAATACATGAAAAACATTAGAGTTTGAATAGAATATAAAGCTTTAATAAGTGAAAGTTACTTTATTATACTCAAAAGTGCAGTAATCAGAGAATATAAATTTGGCAATGTATCTTGGGGATGTATACCAAAAATCTTAACATTCATGTTTTTTAATTCCTCATGTATTGAAATGTCTGAAAAAAATAAGATCAGAATCATTAGAAGCTCTTGTATAATATTTTTTAGTATAATCCTGAAAAAAGTCAAATTGACCTTAATCGCTACTAAAAGTATTATATTTAACTACAGTGTATCACTCTCATGGAACATTCTGCAGACATTAAAATGTTTATTTAGCTTTCATAATGCTACTTTATGTCATTTAAGTTGTAAACAAATTCCTTACAACATTGTGAGTACCGCATAACATTTCTTATGTAAAATTACTTAAAAAAATAATACCAAAATACTGGCTGAGCTTTTTAGACACTGGTATTTTCTAAATCTATGCCAAGATCTGCCCTAGCTGGTGTAGCTCAGTGGATTGAGCATGGGCCTGTGAACCAGACGATCGCGGTTTGATTCTCTCAGTCAGGGCACATGCCTGGGTTGCAGGCCAGTTCCCAGCAGGAGACGCATGAGAGGCAACCACACATTGATATTTCTCTCCCTGTCTCCTTCCCTTCCCCTCTAAAGATAAATAAATAAATAAATCTATGCCAAGATTTTATAAACTTTACAATAAAAGATGAGTGTACTTTGAAACTAATTTTAAGCAGAGTTTAAGTGCTGTAAAAACTGCCCAAGGTACAGACCATGAATGATTCAGTGGGACTCAGGTGGAGCTCACACACGTTTCATGTCACCAGGCTCCTGGTGCTGCTGCTGCTACTGAGCCTTGGAACCCACTGTGGGCAGAAGTCAGTGCGGTGACCCCAGCCTGGAGAGTAGATAGCGCTTTTCTTGGGTGCTTTCCTTGGGTGCTCCATCCTACCTGCCACTCAGCTTTACCAGCCAGTCCAGCTAAATTATGGTCGTTGTTTTCTGGCTGTAGCTCTCACCATATATCTAAATGACTCATTTTCTTTCACATCTTTTATGTACTTACTCACATCTGAGGCCAAACACTGTATTTAATACCGTGATCTACACCCAAAGCAAGACCACTGGTGTATTTTCTAACAGTCCTGTGATTTATATATGAACTGTCTGGTCTTTCTCCACCGCAATGCAAGTTCCATGCTTAAGGGATAAACATTTTATTCATCTATGGATTTCATGTGCTTGGAATAGTGTTTGCATGTTTTTAACAAAGGGAACAAATGGATGCTAGGTAGGCTAAAGCAACAGATGTCCTTCTACTGTGTTCAAAATTTTTGCCAAGAAAATAGGGCATAATTGTTAAAGTTCTATGTCAGTAGCACCCTACAACATTTATATGCCAGATAAATCCAGTTCAATATTTACGGTGAGTACAGAATAATTGCTGTGTTCCTATTACTACTCTGGTAAGGCCCCAGACAGTCTGGCGGGAATCTGAGTGGATTGCCAAAAATTTATGGTTCTAGAAAAATATATTGAAACTGTATCTTATAATCTGATCAAGCTGGCAATATAACGAGGTCCCAGCCATAGTCTTAAGTCTTGGTGACATGGAGGCAGTAATTTCAGCTAAAAAGAAGCTGTTATTCCTGAAAAATATTTTCCTAGCATCAAAAAAAGAAGGAAAACAAAATGAAACAAAGAAAAAACTAGAAAAGCATGTTAGTTGTTGCAAACATCAGCGTATGATTTGTATCATAAATCTAAGCAGAAGCCGTAGATAATCTGTTTTGATGTATCTTTCCATTAGCAACTGACCAAGACCGATTTCTGTCACAGAAACTGAAGTGACATGTTGAGCATTCTGGCAAGTTCTTCTGGCCAATCTGCTCCAGTTCCGCTTCAGGGCATCCACAGTGGGGTGTCTTTATAATCTGTCCAGCTTGCGATGTAATTAAGCTAATGAGGAACGATGGCACAAATTTAGGTGCGCTTCCCGTTCACAAATTCCCTGAGCCCAACCCGAGCGACACAGAGCCCTTGTAAGAGATGAGTGAGCACCACAACACGTCCACTTCACATAATTAAGACGAACTTTTGTACAGATATTTATAATTGGAACTGAAATATTCTAAACTTATTAAGGATTGCACCACAATGTTTTCTTCACCTGAAAAAAAATCACTAAAGTCAACCAGAACATCTTCCTGAAATTTCTTGGAGATGGAAAATGGTAGCATTTTAAGAAATTTGCTAAGTATATGGTTTGTGTTACAGGATTATACGTATGTTTCAATGTTGTAATAATTATGTCTTTAATTATGACATCTTATTTACTACCTGCATAGAAATACTTGGGTGAGTTAAATTCAATGATTCCAAGTAATTGTTACTAAGGTATTAAAAATTAAAAAGTGATTTTATTTCAACAGAATATAAAATATCCTGTGGTCTTGTAACCTGTCATGATAAGTGTGATGTACTAGACTTATTTATTAGTTTTCATACAGGCCTCAAATATGTCATTGAATTTCAAGATTTCATGAAACTGGCTGTTAAATTTCTATTGAGTATTTTCCATCTAAAGTAAGTGGCATCATTGCCTATTGGACAGTTGTTAAAATGTTTAAGAAATGTTAAAGAAGCTAGCACTGAATACCTGTATTGCTGATAATTCATTGACCTTTGAGGTCTATAAACTACAGCTTTTCTATGAGCTAAGGTAGCAATGCAATTGTTGTAGATATAGGGTTGATGAAAATGATATGACTATCGCAGCTGAATAACTCAATCAGTGCATTGAGTTCTTTAGTGCAAAATGCAAAACATTGGCTTATAAGTGAATTGATTAAATTCTATATGGAATGGCACAGGTTCAGATTTGAGAGATTCCCATTTTGAGGAAACTATGTTTTTTTGTAAGCAAAGACACTTGTGCTTTAGGTTCTATTCCTTACAGTGAATGGGATGATGAAAATTACATTCCCATTGACATGAACCAATTGTTTTCCCAAAGTTTTG